TGCTCACCGAATGTCGAAGACACAACGGCTACTCTCAACCTGGTTTGGCCAGCCTGTCGAAGCTGTTGCCCGGGGTGTGGCCGCTGCGCATGTTACAGCTACTAGGAGCCACAGGTGAGAGCTGAGTGTCAGGTGGGGACCAAAGGTATACGAGCTGCCCTAAAAAAAGGGCACGACATGCCCTCCACCAGAGGTGCTACCCCTCCCTGAACACCCCATACGCCCCTGTATTTAGAATAATGAAAACAGCAATATATTTTACAGTCAGCCTGAAAATGGGCTGCAGTGCAGACACTGCACGGAGCGGCAGGGCCGGGCGAGGCGAACTGGCGACATGCAGAACCTGCCTGGGCCTGTGCAGAGGCAGCAGTGAGCACATGTATCTGGCGTCCTGATGAAAGGGAACCACTCAGAATGCACCAGTTCATCTCACCCAGCCCAGCCGCTCCTTGCAGTGAGGAGAACACGCTGCTGCCTGCCAAAACCAGGCTGGGGTCTTGGCAGCATAACACAGGTAACGTGGACTCTCATGCCGCTCATGGTGTCCCCTCCCCCAGAGTCCACAGGTGTGTGAAGGGCAATTTGCAGATCTCTTTTTTCCAAGCACTTTCTCCTTCACTCATTCACACTTCTCCCCCATTTCCTCCAAGCTCTTTCTGCTTCATTCATTCACACTTCTCTTGCCATTTCTCCAAAGTCCAAACTTCCGCTGCTTCCCTCAGTTGCCCTGATCACCTTCCCAAAGTCCAAACTCCCGCTGCTTCCCTTGCTCGCCTTCCCAAAGTCCAAACACATTCGTACTACTTTCCTCGCTCACCCTTGTCTCCTTCCCAAAGTCCAAACACGCACATACCACTTTCCTCGCTCGCCCTGCTCACCATTTCTCCAAAGTCCAAACTCATGTTGCTTCACTAGCTTGCTCGCACCGCTCGCTCATTGTCCTGACTGCACCGTTATTTCCAAAGGCCTCTCTCTCTCTCTCTCTCTCTCTCTCTCTCTCTCTCTCTCTCTCTCTCTCTCTCTCTCTCTCTCC